TGTTATCGGGTATCATGCTTAATAGAAACAATTCTGGGGTTATGTTGTAACATACACTCTTTTCCAGTATTGTTCCGCTACTTCACATGACCACCACATATGATAATAACTTCCCATTTGTGTTTCACATTTCCAACACTTATTTGATATATCATTATACATCTTTGACAGTTTTTCCAGGGTCATATGCCACCTATAGAACATCTTATATATATTCTCTTTAAAATTTACCGATCTTGTGAGCTTTATGTTATTTTGCCATATTTTCAGCCATTGATCAATATCAATGTTGTGCCCTATATTTTGTGCCCACTTAATCATAGGTTCTTTAACCATTTGCTCTTGCATTTGAATTTCCAGCATATAGTTATAGATTTTCTTAACAATTTGTTCTTTTGAACCCAATAACAATTTATCGAAGTTAGTTTGTTCGAAGTAGAAACCCTCTATTTTATCTTTTGTATATCTGGATTCTAGCTGAATTCTAGGCCACCAGTCTAAATAAACATTCTGCGACTCTAGTTCCTCTTTAGACCTTAATTCACCGTCCTTTTTAAATAGATCTTGATCTCTTAGAAGATTTGCTTTTGTCATAAGATTGGGTTGCGTAAAGGCTTCTATCGGTGACACCCATGCAGGTGTTTTGTAATAAACTTGTTGTGTAATCTTTCTCCACCTTCCCAGTAAAGCTTTCCTTATCGTATGTGAATTAAATTTTTTTGTTCTTTGTCCTTTTCAAGACAGGCCTGCCTGAGCCTGCACTGCAGGGATGCTGGTGTCATTCCCCCTCCCTCCCTCCGTCTCCCCCTTACAAAAGACATGGGGGGGCCCTTCTTGGGTCCAGGGGCGGAAGCAGCCCTGAGTGGCAGAGGCATTGGCAGCAAAGGGGACGGATGGACAGACATCCAGCCAGGTTGCCCTGACAGGTGCTCCGCTGCCGTGGCGCAGGTGCAAGAGAGAGAGAGAGAGAGAATGAATGGTGACCGGCTGGGGCTGGCCGTGCAACCGGTTTCTAGCTGCATGGCGCCTCAAGCCATGCTGATGCCCAGCCCTGGGCTTTTACCTGAGACAGATTGGGAGCGGCTTCCTGTCCTGGGGAAGGCCCCATCCAGGCCAGCCCCCCTGGAGCCCCTCCTCCCACCCAAAAGCACTGGGCCCCTTGCCCTAGGGGACCGAGGGCAGTGTCCTGGTGACCCTGGCCAGTGGCCCCTTTGGCAAACCCCTCTCTCTCCTCTCCTGGGTGGGTGCCCGTGGGATTGCAAAGCACCCAGGTAGAGGCAGGTCTGTGCAGCAAGAGGATCGGGCCTTGGGATAGGAAACACACACACAGACACACACACACCGGCCCTCTTTGCTCCTCAGCAGGGGTTCCCAGCCTTGGGTGACCCAGCTGTTCTCAAACTACAATTCCCAGAAACCCTGGCCAGCACAGCTTGGTGGTGAAGGCTTCTGGGAATTGCAGTCCTTGGGATGCTCCAATGGGGAGCCTGAAGACGAGCTGCTGTGGTCGGTCAGTCGGACGAGGGACATCCTTCTGCCTAAAGGCAATGAGCGTTTTGGCCGCCAGCATATTATTTCTGCAGGGCGGGGTGGGCTGGGGGCTGAGCCAGAGGCGAAGGAAGTAGAAAGGAGGAACAAAAGAGGGCCACGATAATGGGTGGCCCAGCGTGCAGGTTCCTGCAGTCCCCCCCTTTACAACCTCTCCTACCTGCTAATCCTAATTCATTGCCTGGGTTGGGATATTTGAAAGGGATCATGTGAGACGTGATACCTGAACACAGTCAGAATCACTAAAAATTGCCAAGTCATCCTTACAGCTGCAACTCTGTTTAGCCATAAATTAATATGGTTTAGCAACCTGATTGGCACCGTGGCTTAAGAAAATACAGCAGTGAATAGTACTGAGATTTCCTGCATTAAATAAACAATTTTATTAACGATCATTAACTTACAGTGCCTTGATAGGGGCGACGTATGCTTCCCTCCTCTTTGAAGCGGAGAAGTTATTTCTAATTAAAGTGAGGACCTTCCTCCGTCTGTCATTTTCCTCTTTCTGTTTCGATTCCCTTTTCCTTTTTGTGTTGTCTCTTTCAGACCGAAAGCTGACGGGGCAAAGGCAGTTTCATGACTTGATCTTTGTAAGAGAGCGCGGACCCTTTTTTTGGTCTTTTTTTTTTTTTTTGCTTTAAATAAAAGGAGCTGTCTCTATATATCCTTCATGACACCACACCGCCTCTTGCTTCTTCCAGGAGGATTCACAAGAACCCGAAAAACCCACAACAACCAGGATTCACAAGGCCGTCCCCTTCTGACCCGCTGTAAATGGTAAAAAGGCGAAGAAGATGGACGAGGAGCCTGGAGGCAGTGGGGTGTTCGTGGCCTCTTCTCCCCGGAAGAGGAAGAGAGAGAGCCGTGGGACGGCAGGGCCTGGCAGCCCCCTCCCAAAGAAGCAAAAGAAAGCCCGCAAAACCCCCCGGAGAGAAGCCCCACACTATTTTGTTCATGAGACGGACAACGATATGCTGCTGATCATCCCCAACGTGGGCGAGATCGAAGACCGGCCAGCTCAGAAAGGGCTCAAAAAGAAGCAGAAGCCGCCACCCCGGGAGAAGGTCCCAAAGAAGAAGCCGGCCAACCAGCGGGTGGGGAAACCGAGGAAAGGAGCGCCTTCGGCAGACCAGCGAGTGACTTCCAGAGTTCTGGACAAAGGCGACCGGTCCCTCATGCTCCGGACCACGGCAGCTCCCGCCGGGCGTTCCTGGGGTGAGAAACTCCCGGTCGAAATCCTGGTCCAAATCTTCCAGTTGGTTGTCGCCTCTGAAGGTTCGGTGCCCTTCCTCTGCAGGTAAACGGCGGCCGCGGCCAGCAGCAGAAAGGTCGGGAAGGTGGTGTTGGCTCTTCCTGAGCGGTCCCTGTTTCACCTGGGCTCCCACCTGACCCTTGCTGTGTAGATGACCCGTTCTTGACTGCCCCTTCTTGTCTCTAGGGTGGCCAGGGTGTGCCGGCTCTGGTACGGAGCAGCTTCCAACCCGGTGCTTTGGCAGAACGTGACCGTTGGCTGCTGCTGGGTCACACCGGGCAAAAAAATGCCCCCTGCCGTGGAGAAGAGGGTCCTGGGCACCCTGGAGTGGCTGGCGGGCAACAGGTGAGGAGGGTGGTTGCCTCTGCCCTCTGGCAGGCTTGCACCCCTTTCTTCTGGGCGCCAGCTGGTGTTGGGGGGGAGCTACACGGCCTCCCCCCATTCTCCCCTTGAACGCCAGAGGGGCAAAGGCCCAGAGGGAGAAACCACCAGGTGTCTCTTCGGTTCCTTGCAGGTTTCCCCACCTCCGAGATTTTGCTCTCTGCCACTGGAAGAGCCACGTCCCTTTTGTCCTGAAGGTGAGTGAGGCTGGCATGTTGTTTGCTCTCCCCCTGGTGCAGGCCTGGGCTCTGCTCGTTTTGCCTTCCGACCGCTTGTGGAAACTTGGATGGCAGAAATGGACAGGAGGGTGCCAACGAGCCCACAGCCGGCAGCTTTGCTCCAGCTTTTGACAGCGCACCGGAGCGTGCCCTTCTTTTGCCTTAAGGTGCCGAGCCGCTGCGCACCAGAAGCCCCGTGGTTTTGGCTGGCCCTCACTTCCCTCTCCTCCTCAGGCCCTTGCCGACTCCTGCCCTCTTCTTGCGTCTCTTAAGCTCTCCCACTGCAGTGGGGTCACCAGCGAGTCTCTGGGGGCGGTGGCTGGATCCTGTCCACAGCTGCAGAGTCTGAACCTGCAGAACTCTCAGGTGAGCTCAATGAAGGAGGGGGGTTCGGGGCGAGAGGGCCGGGGCCGTCTCCGCCGGCCCGCCTGGACCGGCAGCCAAGGGGGCTCTCTTGCTGAGGCTTCTCCGTGGGGCCGGCGCAGGGCCGACAGCATGGCAGCCAGGGGGGCTCTCTTGCTGAGGCTTCCCCGTGGGGCCGGCGCAGGGCCGACAGCATCATGCAGGTCCCGTCTTCTGTGTCTCCAGATGGACTCCTCGGCCGTACTCAGGTTCCTGAAAGCTGCAGGCTCGCGAATCCGTCGCCTGTGGCTGACCTACAGCAACCGAATGAGCGCCATTATTGCTGAGCTTGCGGTAAATGTACCTGAAACCTTTTGGGTGGGCTGGCCTGTCCCAGGACGGTTTATACCTGTCCTGTTGGGCTTCCGGACGAGGATTGAGCCTGCTTGAAAGGGCAGCTTGGAAGCGCCCCAAGCGGTCGTGGCACCTCCAGAGCACAGCGCATTGAACTGACGAAAGCAACCTCCCGAGCACGATCACCGGGTTGAGCCGGTGGAATCGCTGAATTGCTCGTAGCTTCGGTTCTCCGTCTGGGAAATGGGAACGAGAGTAAGAGCAGAGGGGAGGGCCGGCGCTCCTTATGTTTGGAAGGCTATATAAATCAAAAATGGTGACATTCTCAACTGCTGCTGATGGGTGGCCGCTCCGTGAGGTCTGCGCCACTCTGGGATCGTGACCGGCGTACGTATTCCCGCTTGCTCAGCCTGAGGAAACTGGAGGCCCACCCCATGCGTCCTGCCTCCTTAAAGCTGCAAGCATCGTGCTGTTTCCACTCAAATGGGGCAAGACGGGGAGTCGGCGTCGACGCTGTCTTCCGCTTCCTCCCGTAGCGGAGTAGAGGGGTCCCGGGAGTCCAGAAGGGGGGGGCGGCTCCAAAACCTTGGCTTTTCAAGAGCAGCCCCGGGATTCTGTCCCTGTGCCAGCCATCAGCAGGTGTCCCCAGCTAGGGCTCACGGCTCCCGCTGTGAAGCTCCTGGCAGAGGGTGGCAATAGGCTGATGATGACCTCGTAGAAGCTGTTGCTGCTGCAGAATAACACTGGTCCATAGAGGGTTCCGTGAGGGCATATGTCTATTTCGCAACTGCTTTGTATCCTGTGCAAACTGTTTGGGGGGGGATGGGCTAGCCCCGCCAGACCTGTTTATTTATTTATTTATTTAATTTATATGCCGCCCACTCTACCCAAAGGTCTCTGTTGTCGCTTCCGGGATCCTCCTGCGCATGATGGAGGGCTGTGTTCCTGGAGAGAACCGCTTTTGCTCTCTAAGGAGGCCACCGGGGGCTCCAAGGGTCAGGGGGTGACTCTGCAAGTCACAAAAGCTCAGCATCAGACAGTTGCCCTCCCTGTGCAGGAGGTTGACGGACCCGGGAGCCGAGGGGGATGGGAACGAGCACCCTCCCCTTCCTCCTCTGCCCGTACAGCCTGCTTTCAAGGGAGGGCCGGCTTTCGCAACTGGTGCCCGTCTAACCCTGCCGTTGCTTTCCAGGGCGGCGGCTGCCCGGGACTGGAGCTCCTGGAGGTGAACACGGAGATCAAGCAGAGCAGCCAGCCCTTCCAGCTGCCCATCGAACAGCTCCAAGCCGCCTGCCCGCAGCTTCAGGTGCTCATGGCTCCCCGGAAGGGCCTCCCTTGAGCGAACTCGCCCGGTGGCTCCAGAGCCGCAGGCAGAGCCCTCCTCTCCCCTTCCCGGGTGACTGGGCACACGGAGGATTGTGGACTGAGGGTCACTGGGGGGGTGGGGGGAGAGGGCTTTGTGGTTTCCAGGCCATAGGAGGGACTTGCTGATTAATTCAGCGGCTTTTTTCCTTCTGCGCTTCCTTCCTGGGTTCTAGGTGCTGCGGCTGCTCAACGTCACCTGTTACGTGAAGCCCGCCGCTGGCTCGGCCCCACCGCCCCCAGGCTTTCCGCAGCTGGAAGAGCTGTGCCTGGCCACCACCGCCTTTTCCTTTGTGGACAACAACATGCTGGAACGGATCCTGTGCGCCTCAAGCCGGCTCCGTGTCCTGGACTTGCGTGGCTGCTTCCGCGTGACCCCCAAAGGCTTGGAGCTGCTGCCGTGCTCAGGTGGGACGCGCGGGGCCCCAGTCCCGGGCTTTTTCCAGGCCATTTTCTGAGGGGGGGTGTTTGCTTCCATCGGTCAAGCTCAGAGGTAGGCCTGTGATCTCGGGCCTGTTTTTGACCCCCACCGTGGACGAAGCCGAGTTGAAAGGCCTCTGTATTAAGGACAAAAGGCACTGTGTCGCGCGGTGTGGGAGGCTGTTCCATACACCACCGAACTGTGGGTGAGGGAGGAGGATCCCTCTCAAAGGGGTGGGCTGAGGGGGGGGGCGGGGAGCCAGGGCACTCACACCTCACCCTCTGTGGGGCTTACTTCTGAGGAGCTGCTGCTTCCGCTGCTTTCCCTCAGTCAGGGAGGGTTGCCACTGGCCTCAAGAGCCCAGCCAGAGGGCGGAGGTGTTTGGGTGCTCGGCCCGCAGGGAAGCAGGCTCTCGGACGGTTGTCTGTGTCGGATCGTGGGGGTGTGTGGGCGCCAGGGGCCTTCGCCCCTCGGTTCATTTTCCTCTGCCCTTTGCATAAGGGTGGGGCTGGGGAAAGAGCAGTGCAAATGGGGGGAAGAGGCGTCAGTCCTTTAAGAGCTGCAGGTGAGGCCATCTTACTGGTTAAACACCCCCCTCCAGCAGTGACTCCTAATGAAGGAAGGAGGAGGAAAAGAATGAAAGGCCCCTGCCCTTCATTGGGGTCGAGACCACCTGGAGCGCCTGTCATGAGAAACGAAGCAAAAACTGTGCCCAGTGGCTGGACGGAACTTGAGCCAAGGATGTGGAGAGCGCCCAAGAGAGGGGGGGGTGCGGACTTTCCCCCTCCCCAGGACTTGGAGCCCAGAAGGGAGGGTTTGGGGCGGCTGCAGAGAGAGAGAGAGAGAGAGAGGAGAGGGGGGGGGGGGGGAGGAGGGGGGGGTCTGTGTGTGTGTGTGTGTGTGTAATTCTGGGATGTTGGTGGGGGTAGGCAGAAGATAATGGGCCCTCCTAAGAACTGGCTGGTGGAGTCACTTGCTAGATATTGCATTTCATTCCCTCCTTCCCCCGCACCAATACCCTCAGATCATCATCCTCACCCGTTGAGGGCGGTGATCCTCCACTGGGCCTCCTTGGCAGGGGTTGGGCTTGATGCTCCACAGGTTCCCCTCTGGCTCTGTAGTTCCAAGCAGATGATGTGGATGATTACGACCTTTAGTGGAACACCCTGGGTTTCTGCTGGGGAAAGAGTCCGGCCTCCCAGCCAGTTTGAGTTTGACCGCCCTGCATGAAGAGGGTGACCCCCCTCCCCCTCCAGGAGAGCCCTCCTTCCTTCTGTGGTCTTTAGGGAGTTGGTTCTGCACTGTTGTTTTTGGGTGAGAAGACCCCCCCTCACCCTTCCCTTGTGACACCCCCAGACCTGGAGCAGCTCTACCTGGGCCTCTACGGCAGCATCAGCCACCTTCGCCTGCCCCTGGAAGGGAGCCCCCTCATCACCTGGAAGTGGGACCACAGCCTGCGGGAGCTGGACCTGGCCGGCCAGAGCTTCAGCGAGCAGGACCTGGATCGGGCCATGGCGGCCTTCGCCCGGCAGGAGAGGGCCAGAGGAGAGCCCGCCCTGCACTCCCTCAATCTCACGGGCACCAAGATCACCCTCCGGACGGTCAGGTGAGCTGGCGGTGGGCTTCCAGAGATCGCCTGCAGTCTCCCCTTTACCCCCCTCCCCAGTCATTTGGGCTCAGCCACTTGCTTTTGTTTTTTAAATCTTGTGAGATAAAGCGGGGAGGGGGATCAATCATACACAGGCCCTCTGAGCCCCTTGGAGGACATAATTATATATTTATTATATTTTCATGCTGCCTTTCCGTTAAAGTGGGACAGGTTCCAACCACAGACTGTGTTAGCCCCATGTGCACGCACGCCCATATGCAAATGTGGCCTGTAGCATCACTGACGTCCACCCCCTTAAGAAACAACAAATTAAAGTGTTACTCAGGAAACCCCCTTTTACCGTTCGGAGTGTGCATCTTTGCAATTCTCTAGCAACCCTGTCTCCACCCTGCAAATATTGTAATTTCTTTTAAAAATGGGCATTAGAAGATGTGAAGAGCTGTTTTCAAAGTTTTGCAAAGAAAAGAAACCCCTCTATTTTAAAGGCATGTTTTGGATCAAGTTGGGCGTGTAGACGTTTTTCCCGTCCTTCCAGGGGAAAAGTGTGCCAGGAAGCTTGCAGACCACCTTATCATCTTGGGGTTGCTTTTTCTTGTGGTGCAGAGCCTCCTCTGTGTCCCCAGGCTGATCTTGAAAACACCCGTTCTCTTTTGATCCCTGTACTGCTCACTCTTCAAAGGAAGAACTTCCCTGTGCTTTTAACAGCGCCCGTCTAAAGCAAAAATAAAACAAAGTGCACACGAAAATAATTGACAGGTTTGTCACCCCAAAGACCCATAAGAAAATTAAAAGGCCTTTTCTTTGCACCAAAAAGGCATGAATTCACACCAGGCAGGAGAGCCCTGGGGCCGAGAGGGTTCTTACAGCTACACCTCTCCCTGCGGATTGTCAGCCGTGTGAGAAATGCTCACACCCTTGTTACTTAAATGTACAGCCTATCCGGTGCGCCTAAACCAATCACAGGAAGTCCCGCCTCTGTTTACACCCCCTACTCCCCTCTTTTCCTCGACCCCTGGCCCTTATTTACTTCATTCCTTGTTGGGATATATATTCCCTTTTCCTAACCTCCCTGCGGTCATTCTAACTGACCCATTAAGTTCCTTCCTTCTTACTTAGGCCTCCTCGCTCCATCTTCTTGTCAGTACAATAGGGGTACCTCCCTTAATTGTTCTTTCCTCTTACAATTTCTCATGACTTCTCTAAATTCCTTGTGTTGACTAAATAACTAACAGAGAATATGTACTGCACTGATTATTTTCCCGTGACCATTTACTCAGTCATCCTGTCCTTACAGGGACTTGCAAAAGCAGCACCGATTCCTCTATTTCTCTCCGCCGTATGTAGGCAGACGCTATGGATTTCTTTTTCTTTCTTTCTTTTATTTAATGGCTGCATTTACATCCTGCCCATCGAGGGGCAAGCCACTACTTTGGGCAGTTTACCGTCCTGTAAACACATCCCTCCTGCCCCACCACAACCATCAAGCATAAGGAACAATTCCCACAAAGGCTGCCATGGTGACAGCTGTAAAACTATTGTAGTGCTTAAGAAGAAATAAGAGTGAAAGGGGAGTTCAGCAGGTCTTCCGCAAAGGGGGGGGGAGGAGGGGATGGGCCCTTAAAGGCCTCTTTAAAAAGCACAGCGTCCACGTGCTTGTGACACGGAAGGAATGGAAGGGCACCTGACGTCCGTCTCCCGGGGGGGGGGAGTGCTCCAGAGCCTCGCAGCCACCCTTGAGAGAGGCCCGCTCCCTGGTTGTTGTCTTTCGGGGCCTCTGTTTCGGAGGAGCCACCCGCAGCGAGGAAGCCTGAGAAGAACGGGTGGCTCGGGGGTAAGAGCTTAAGGAGGGGCTCTCCGACAGGTATCGAGACCCTGCAGTTTGGGGATTTATACGTCCCTGTGAACCCTTCGAATTTGGCAGGGAAGCACACAGGGAGCCCACGGAGGCAAGCCAGGCTCAGGGAAATAGGATCCCATTTCAACGCCCTCCCCTGCGGCAGTTTTCATGTCACTTTCAAAGATGCCCCCCCCCCCGTGTAGGGAGCGTTCGAGTAGCCGATCGGTGAGATCACCACCAACACCTGAACGACAGTTTGGGCTGTGTTGGGTCTCTGGTGGAGAAGGGCTAGGGCCGAGATCACATGGAAGTTGCTTCCCTGCGTAGGATGCTGGCCGGGCAAGGCTGTGCAGCGCCTGAGAAGAACTAGCTGTGTCAAACCGTTCAGCTCCTGATGCTTGTGTGTAATGCCTTGTGGCCTTCGCGTCAGGTGCTGCTGAATTCCCGCCCCTTTCTTTGGGCGTGGTCATCCACAAGGCAGGTTTTTCAAAGCCAGTGGTTCCCAACTTTTGGTCTCCAGAGGTTCTTGGACTACAACTCCCAGAAATCCTGGCCAACACAGCTCGCGGTGAAGACTTCTGGGAGTTTGAGTTCAAGAACATCTGGGGAACCATTGCCCTCAGCCAGTGGTCCCCAACCTTGGGCGACCCCGGTGTTCTTAGACTGCAGATCCCAGAAGCCTTCACCACCTGCTGTGCTGGCTGGGGTTTCTGGGAATTACAGTCCAAGAACACCGGGGTCACCCAAGGTTGGGAAGCAGAGCGCTAAACCCTGAGTTGGTCATGACCGTAGGCAACGGGGAGAAGCACAGCCAGGCGGAAGCTTTAGGTGCTGAACGCAGTATACTCCTGTGTCGCTGACTTTCTTCTGCACATCCTCCAGGCTGGCAAGGGAGTGCACCTGGGGGGGGCACTGGGGGTACGGTGCCTGCTGAAACGAAACTGATCTTCCTCCCTCTCTTCCTCCCTCCCGATCCCACAAAGCACCCTGATCGCTAGCTGCCCCTCGCTCAACTACCTCAACCTGTCGTCCTGTCGCCATCTGCCGCGGGGCATGAAGAAAGTGTACCGTGGTTCCGAGGAGATCCGCCAGTGTTTGCACCAGCTTTTGACCAGCGTGGAAGAGTCAGGGGGGCTGGGAGAGATCACATAGCCACCGCGGCCTCTCTCTTGATCCTGCCACACCAGCCTAGCCACACTTCAGGTTTCTGTAGCAGCTGCCTGTTCCTGGATGCGGTCCTTGCTGCATTGCCTGGACGGTGGCCGCTCTGCCCCCAGGCCAGGGGATGCTGCAACCCGACTGAGCCAGCAGGGAGGCGGGCGCTCCCTGCACGGCTGATTGGGGAACATTTCTGAAGGCTATATTCCCCCCCTTCTCTTTCTCTTTATTTCTGTTGTCTTTTGCACTGTTTGAAGATGCAAATTTATTAGAATAAAAGTTTTTTTCCCCATTTTCACAGTGTTTCTTTTTCTGGGTCTAGGTACCGAGGGATAACCCCCTGACAAAGCCGGGGTCTCTCTGCTTATTCTTGCCCCGGGCTGCGAGGACTTTGTACCTTGCAAACAGGAGAAATGAGAGACGACGAAATCGCTGTGGCTGAATACCAGCAGGTTTCCCCACCTAGGTCAGGAACAGGAAGCAGAAAGTATTTAAAGGCTACCCCTGATGGTGCATAGCCCAGTTTGCCCCCTTTGAAACCCCCTTCCTCAGGGGCGGAGGTTACAAGTGACTAAGCCCAAGGTGGAAATCTTGCTGACCTCCGAGGCGTTGTAGGAGGACGTGGGGCCATGCCAGGGAGGGCCGGCTTCTCTGACCGGCACCTGCAGGAAATGGGGGCCTTTGGACTCAGCAGCTTGGTGCGCTCAGCTCCTGAATGTAAAAGGAGAATCTTGTGTGATTAGGAACCGTGGGTTCATTGCCCTGATCGGTAGTTGAGCGGGACGGGGAGCCAGGCTGGAAGAGACCCTGCAGAAGGGTTGCCCTGGACGGACGGACGAAGGCGGCCATGGGTGGCTGGCACTGAAACGCGCCGGGCAGCCTTTGAAGTGCAAAAAAACCAGTTTGGGGCATCCTCCTGAGATTTCCGCCTCTCCTTCCTCGATGGGTCTGGTGGATGTTTCCTGCTCCTTTTAGCACTCTCTGTGCGTGCACACCAAACACCTCCCACGTGCTCAGCGACCCATTCCACTGCCTTCCTGTGGCCAAGAGAAACCACGGCAGCCGGGCCTCCAATCCTCTGGGGGCACGCCCTGCTCTTCGGTGCTGCCCGATCCCTTTGTGTCGGCCCTCCCTGGAGAAGACCGGCTGCTCGGCCTGACTGCAGGGGAACCAAAAGGGAGCCCTGTGTTCCAGGGAGAGCCTTGGAGAAGGCCAGGAGGGGATGACAAGGCAGGCCACGGATCATAAGGGGTCAGGAACAGGGGTAAGCACTGAAGGGCGGCTCTCGGTGCTACAGGGAGCAGGGCTGGGGCTGCGTCTCCCTCCTGCAGAGGCTTTGCTCTGTTTGCAAACACTGTAAATGTGCTTGGCTAGAGAGAGAGAGAGAGAGAGAGAGAGAGAGAAGGGCAGGAAACTTCATGTTGCACCCCTGGGGGAACCTGTGCTGCGGACATAAGCATCCCATGCTTCCGTATCCCATTACTTGGGAGTTTACTTAGAAGCCTTCCTCCGTTCTGGAACGGCTGAGCTTTTCTCCCGGGAAGTAGAAATAGAGGTGAGGGAGGCTATTAGGCAGAAATGAGGAAGCAGGTAGCTGAAAGTTCAGAGGCAATCATCTGCTCGTTTGCTCTTCTCCAGGTATAAGGTTGTTTTTCCTGCCCCAGCAGAGAGACTCTTGAAAAGAGCCACCCAGTGTCCCCTGGATCATGGATGAGGTGTGGCTCCCAGGAAGTCCCATGGAGAACAACAGGATCTAACAGGGCTCCGTGCCAGATGGATCATGCCCAGGCTTCTTCTTCTTCTTCTTCTTCTTCTTCTTCTTCTTCTTCTTCTTCTTCTTCTTCTTCTGCTTCTTCTTCTTCTTCTTCTTCTTCTTCTTCTTCTTCTTCTTCTTCTTCTTCTTCTTCTTCTGCTTCTTCTTCTTCTTCTTCTTCTTCTTCTTCTTCTTCTTCTTCTTCTTCTTCTTCATTATTACTCCAAACCCTGACTTGAACTCCTTAGGGACAAATGCAGTCATGACCAAGATGGGAAAGGAAGCAGACAAAAATGCGCCGGTTTTCATGCGACCCCCCCCCCGGGGGACAATGGCTTGAGCAGCAGCATTCCAGGGCCAGAGTGCAATAAGTGGAGCCGGGCGGGCCCCAAAGTCCAAGGCCGTTTTATGCACCATCGACAGGAATATTGCTTTCTGGGTGGGGAGTTCTGCTCAGCAAGGGTGCAAGACATGCTGGCAGGGGGGAGGAGTTCTTTTTGAGGCTGCAGCCCCCAGCCGGCCTCCCCCAGTGAGAATGCTAAAAGCTGGAGCCCAGAAGGGGTTCTTTCCCGACCTCTGGGCAGAGTCTGCCTACCCCCAAACGAAAGGGAGTAACAAACAAAAAAGCCGCTTTCTAGCTGATATCAGTGGGTTGGTTTATTACACCCCAGAGTGATCGGCCCCACGCAGTGGCTCTGTGGGGTTCCAGGTGGAGGGGGAGTGGTTTGCAAAGGGTGGGTCTCGATCCCAAGTCCTTTCTGTGCCACTAACCTGTCGTTCTCTCAGAACTCTTCCTGCCCCAGAGCTTCACGGAGAGGGCAGGGGTCCAATGAGTGGTTAGAGGTTTCAGGATGGTCTTGCTGTCAGCCCACACACCCTCCTGATTCGCCTGGGGCTGAGCTGGCCCAGTTCATCCCTCCACAGCATAACACGAGACTCTGCCATGGTTTTGCAGCAGGCTGGAGAAGGAGCTAAGCAGGGGCTCCTAAAGGAAAACAACCCCCCCCCATACCCACAGTCCAGATGCATTCCAAGATAAAACCATCGCATGGTAGACCTGGAGGATCGCGGAGTCCAGCTCCTGGGGGTTTTTTTCCCTTTTTTTTGCAGTTTCTCTGAGCATTGCACTCTGTTGAAACGGGAAACCCACCCCTAAGGCATCCTTGACTGGTTCTCTCTGCTTTCAAAGCTCCCCCCCCCCATAAGGGAAAGTCCACCAGCTTATGAGGCAGTCGTTCCATCGTTGACAGGCCATCACAATAAGGAAGTTCTTCTTAATGCCAAATTTAAGCCTCCCCCCTTTTTAAAAATAACTTGAACCCACTGCTTCTGGTCCTTTTTTTTTTTGAGCTGCCAAGAGCCAGTCTAATCCACCTTCCTCACAGCAACTCTTCAAGATGTTTGAAGCTGAAGAAGCCATGCGTCAAAAACTAGGTACACCTTATGATTCAGCAGCTTGTAGAACCATCCTTAGCAGCAATCACTTGAGGTCATCGTTTTCTGTATGACATTTTCAGCCTCTCACATCATTGTGGAGGTATTTTCACCCACTCTTCTTTACCACGCTGCTTCAGTTCATTGAGATTTGCGGGCCTCTGTTTATGCACAGCTCTCTTAAGTTCCCACCACAGCATCTCAATCGGGTTGAGGTCTGGACTTGGAGGGGGCCATGGATTCTTTTCTTTTTCAGCCGTTCTGTTGTAGATTTGCTGGAGGGCTTGGGATCCTTGTCCCGTTGCAGGACCCCAGTTTCAGCCAAGCTTTTACTGTCAGACGGATGGCCTCGCATTTGATTCTAGAATACTTCGCTATACAGAGGAGTTCATGGTTGGCTCCATGATTGCACGGTGCCCAGGTCCTGTGGCTGGGGGGAAAAAAGCCCAAATCATCCACTCCTCCACCACTGTGCTGGACAGTTAGTAGGAGGTGTTTGTGCTGATATGCTGCGTTTGGTTCTCACCAAATGTGCCATTGTGCATTACTGCCCAATGGCTCCATTGTGGTCCCGCTTGTCCAAAGGACATTGTTCCAGAAGTCTTGTGGTTTGTCCAGATGCAACTTTGCAAACCCAACCGCCCAGAGTAGACTTCAGTCGAGATGGGCGAGGTATAAATTGAATGAACGAATAAATAAAATAAATAAATAGGCTGTGCTGCCATGTTCTTTTTAGAGAGAAGAGGCTTTCTCCTGGCAACCCTTCCAAACAGACCATACTGGTTCAGTCTTTTTCTAACTGTATTCTGCCATGAACTTTCACATTTAACATGCTAACTGAAGCCTGTAGAGTATGAGATGTAACTCTTGGGGTGTTTTTTGCAGTTTCTCTGAGCATTGCACAGCCTGACTTGGGGTGAATTTGCTTGGACATCTACTCCTGGGAAGGTTGGCAACTCTCTTGAATGTTTTCCACTTGCAAATAATTTTCCTCGGTGTAGAATGATGGACTTTAAATTGTTTGGAAATGGACCTTGCTTGCCTGTAACTAAACTAATTGTTTTAATCAAACTATAGTAAACTATTTCTTAGCTGCTCTTTTAAATATATATTCATTTTCAGGGTGGTTTTTTTTTTTGCACCCCTTTAACTGCTTGGTAATTTATTTTATTTTATTTACCTTATAGCACAAAATCTCAAATACTGGCACCTCCACTATTTTTGTCTTGGGGGTGGGCACCGACATTTTCAGCCTCTCACATCATTGTGGAGGTATTTTCACCCACTCTTCTTTACCACGCTGCTTCAGTTCATTGAGATTTGCGGGCCTCTGTTTATGCACAGCTCTCTTAAGTTCCCACCACAGCATCTCAATCGGGTTGAGGTCTGGACTTGGAGGGGGCCATGGATTCTTTTCTTTTTCAGCCGTTCTGTTGTAGATTTGCTGGAGGGCTTGGGATCCTTGTCCCGTTGCAGGACCCCAGTTTCAGCCAAGCTTTTACTGTCAGACGGATGGCCTCGCATTTGATTCTAGAATACTTCGCTATACAGAGGAGTTCATGGTTGGCTCCATGATTGCACGGTGCCCAGGTCCTGTGGCTGGGGGGAAAAAAGCCCAAATCATCCACTCCTCCACCACTGTGCTGGACAGTTAGTAGGAGGTGTTTGTGCTGATATGTTGTGTTTGGTTCTCACCAAATGTGCCATTGTGCATTACTGCCCAATGGCTCCATTGTGGTCCCGCTTGTCCAAAGGACATTGTTCCAGAAGTCTTGTGGTTTGTCCAGATGCAACTTTGCAAACCCAACCGCCCAGAGTAGACTTCAGTCGAGATGGGCGAGGTATAAATTGAATGAACGAATAAATAAAATAAATAAATAGGCTGTGCTGCCATGTTCTTTTTAGAGAGAAGAGGCTTTCTCCTGGCAACCCTTCCAAACAGACCATACTGGTTCAGTCTTTTTCTAACTGTATTCTGCCATGAACTTTCACATTTAACATGCTAACTGAAGCCTGTAGAGTATGAGATGTAACTCTTGGGGTGTTTTTTGCAGTTTCTCTGAGCATTGCACAGCCTGACTTGGGGTGAATTTGCTTGGACATCTACTCCTGGGAAGGTTGGCAACTCTCTTGAATGTTTTCCACTTGCAAATAATTTTCCTCGGTGTAGAATGATGGACTTTAAATTGTTTGGAAATGGACCTTGCTTGCCTGTAGCTAAACGAATTGTTTTAATCAAACTATAGTAAACTATTTCTTAGCTGCTCTTTTAAATATGCATTCATTTTCAGGGTGGGGTTTTTTTTTGCACCCCTTTAACTGCTTGGTAATTTATTTTATTTTATTTACCTTATAGCACAAAATCTCAAATACTGGCACCTCCACTATTTTTGTCTTGGGGGTGGGCACCCTCTAAACAGCTGAGGACCATTTTTTACTCCCCTTGGACCCTAGCAAGATGCAGGCTTCCCCGACACGTCTGCCCCCAAATTGCAGGAGGGCTCCCGGAAGTCTTGGGGTTACTCTTTAGAGGTGACTTTAGGTCTTTAAAGGCCTACTTAAGGTCAGGAATTAATCAGCCAGTCATGTCCACTTAAGGCAGCCCCTGAGCCCCTGAAATTGGATGTTCAAGGCAAGCCATGAAATGTAGGAGAAATTATGGGCTCAGAGCCGTTCTACTGGATTCTTGGGGGCCACCCTTAACTTGCCCATTGCTCAGCTAGTGGCCCAAAGAGCAGCCATGGTCATGGAATGGCCAGCTTGGTTTCTACGGTGATGACCGGTTCTAAGGTTGCTCTGGGCCCTTGACTCTTAAATCTCCCGTGCCAGTTTCACGGTTATCCAGAAGCAGATGCCCGAGAGGCCTTTGGGCATTTCTGGATCCTTTGGCCTCCCCTTGGTTTGACCTCTCCAGAGTGACACAGGTGTTTGAGCAAGGGTCCGTTCCTTGGGGGGGGGGGAAGAGGGCCGGAATGGAGACCAAAGGTACATCCAGGGAGGGCTCTCCTCCCATCTCACGGCCTGTCGCAAGGCCCCAAGGAGCTTCCCTGCCTTTCACTCCAGTAAAAGAGAAGGAACACAAAAAAATCTGGGGAAACAAGAGTAGGAGACAGAGTGGCTGCCCCCAGAAAGCTTTGTGTGGAACCACCCTTCTTCTTCGTGGCCTGTGTGAATCACCCCCCTGGGTGATTTGCGCCTGCGCGGAGCCTCATCGGAAAGTTCTAGAGCTTCTGTGGGAGCAATGACCACATTAGAATAAGGTCCCTCCCCACCCGTATAAGTACCTTGGTGCCAAGCGTCCCCTTTCAGTTTTCTTTCAACCACCGCGTTGAGCGCCTCGCAATTCTGCTTCTGTGAGTAAAAGAGAAAGAGAGCTTATTCTTGATTCCTGTTATCAATCTTTTTCTTTTAAACTCTTAGATCAAACTCTTTATCATCAGAGATTTTTCCTTTCCCCTCACTCAGCCTCCGGCTGCAGCACCCCGCCCCAGTCATTGATTTTTCTCCTCAGTTGCACGTTCCTCCCTGCAGAAAAGAGACAAAATCTCTTCACCTTACTTCGCGGCTTCACTCTGCCTGCCTTGATACCTCCCTTAATGGTGCAACGAGTTCTAGGCACCATGGCCTCGGTGACATCAGTTGTACAACATGTGCGTCTCAAAATGAGATCTCTCCAATCCTGGTTTCTGGCCCTATTCGATCCACTAACAGACTCTCCCCACACTCTCCCTCCAGAACTGGCCTCTCAACTTCAAGGGTGTTATTCCCATGCCAACCTTTCCAACAACCTCGCCCACAAATAAAAGTCACTACTGGCGCCAGTTGCACCGGCTGGGGGGCTCATTGCAAATCCCTCACAGTCCATGCCAAATTGTCTCACAGAGAAAAACTGCTGCACATAAACAAGTTGGAGCTACTAGCCATTGTAAAGGCCTGCAAGGTTTTCAGAAACCTTCTTGTAGGAAAAATGGCACAGATCGCCACCGACAACACCACGGCGATGTACTACATCCTAAAACAAGGTGGCACCCACTCGCCAGGTCTCCTCTACCTAGCGATCGACCTCTGGGCCTGGCATCTGCAACATCACATCTGTCTCACAGCCTTACACACGGCTGGTCAAGAAAACGACCTAGCAGACTCGCTCAGCCGTACAGATGCCCAAGCTCACGAGTGGGAACTAGATCAATCAGTATTCCGCCAACTATGCCGGAAATGGGGCACACCGACTCTCGATCTCTTTGCCTCCTGAGCGAATTGGAAATGCCAACTGCATTGCTCCCAAGCAGGAATAGGAAAACATTCCCAGGGAAATGCGTTTGTCAGCCGTTGGCCCAAGACTCCGTTCCCTCTCCTCCACAAAGTTGTTGTCCATCTACAACAAAACCAATGCCATCATTATAGCCCCTTGGTGGCCGAGACAG